CCTCTTCCTCCTCGCTCCTTCGACTCCTCCTTTTCCTCATCGCCCCCTCCCTCCACCCCCCTCTCCTCCATTTCGTCCTCGACTGGAAAAGCGACCCCCCAGTTCGCAACCCTGTTTCCAGCTGCTGCCTGGACCGCAGGGGTTTGAAATATTTGCCAATGTGCAAGATATGCGCCAAGTGCAAGTAGGCGCCCCGCCTGTTCACAGGGGGGCCATTTGTTAACAGTGACTCCGACTCTGCCTGTACCATGCCTCAGATTGGAAGGGCGCATTCCTCCTCCTCCTCCTCCTCCTGCTCCTCCTTCTCTGCCTCGGATGCCCAGGAAGGGAGAGGAGAGGAGAGGAGGGCGATGTGGGAGAGGAACGGAAAAGGAGGAGGAGGAGGAGGAGGAGAAGGGTTCGAAGGGGAATATATATATATATATATATATAGGTGTCCAGCCCTTTATAAATATGTATATATATATATATATATAGCTGCACCCCACCTGCTGGGCTGGATCCATTCTGCGACACCTGGAGGGGTAGGTTTTCAGGCCTGAAACTAGACCGCCAGACGATAGCACAGATCCAGCCCTAGCAGTGCCCCACCCCGCGAGGAGTAGTTAGCACACGTTTTCCAAGGAGTAGTTAGCACATGCTGGGCTGGATCCATTCTGCAACCCCTGGAGGGGTATGTTTTCAGGCTTGAAACAAGCCAGAAAGGAGATAGCACATTTCCAGGCTGTGCTAACTACACCTTGGACGACTTGTGCTAACTACTTGTTCCTGACTATAAGCAAAAGAAACTGAAGTAAAGCATGTCATCGGTATCGCCATCGTTGAAATTCACAACGGCATGATGAAGGGCGAACCCATCTCCTGCTGCGAATATGTACTGCGTGACCCATTTCGGCCGACCCGGGCCCCTCTTGGCCCGTCATTGGGAGCTGTGCCCGTCTTGGGGCTCTCAAGGGACCCTCTCCGACCATGTAAGGATTCCGGTGGCCCACATCGGGCCCCCTGGGGACTCTCTTTGGGTCGTCTTCGTCTTGGAGCTCTCTTGCGCTGCTTGAAGCTCTCTTCAGGCCGTCTTTGTTGGGGCCCTCCTGGGGGCCTCTGGGGCCGCGCGGGGCCAATTTGGGGAGCCTTTGGGGCCGTCGTGGCCGCTGTTAGGTTTCTATGAAAGAATACCCTGGAATTCTACGCTTTTTTATCGGAGATGCTTAATATTCGCCGTTGGGGGGCCCGTCATGGGGACATGAGCCCGTCTTGGGGCCTTCTTGGGGCCCACTCCGACCATGTAGGGATCCTCCGGTGGCTCCCTCGGGTCCTCTGGGGACTCTTGTGGGCCGTCTTGGGGTTCTCTTGTGCTGCTTGGAGCTCTCTTCAGGCCGTCTTGGGGCCCTCTCGGGGGCCTCTTGGGCCGTCTGGGGCCGATGTTGGGAGCCTCTGGGGCCGTCGCGGCCGCTGTTAGGATCCCAGAGTGTGCCCTTTTCCATAGGAAACGATAGGAAACGCTTGATGTTTGCCGTCGGGGGTCCTTCTCGGCAGGGTCTTTGCGGCCGTCTAGGCGCAATCTTGGGCTGTCTTCGAGCGCTCGTGGGCCGTCTTACGGCCATCTCAGTGTGCTCTTCAGCCATCTTCCAGACAACCTAGGGAGGCCTCTTGGGCAGAGCCCCTTCTTTTTTCTCTCTCTATCTCTCTCTCTCTCTCTCTTTCTGTTTCTTGTGTCGGTCATAAGCTTTTGAAAAGCTAGTCCCGAAATCCCAAGAGCCCAGGCTACCCTCTCTCGCGGTCTCGTGGCTCACCACCCTACAGCTAACCCCCCTCTACCAGGCCCTATCTCTTCAGCGAGGTTTCCACCGCCTATGGGGGGAACGCATAGCGGCTTCCCAGGCCGGGGACCGCGGAGAGTAGGCGGCCGAGGGGGGGTTTGCGAAACATGTGACCGAGACCGATAGGGGAGTAACCCGGGGGACTACTGACTGGGCCTCTGCGAGACTTTTATGCATGGTGTCCCAAATTTCAGGGTGTGGAAGGTGGGCCGAAACGGCTGCCGTGCATACAAGCTCGACCGACGAAACGATCGACCCGCTACCCACCTTGCCCAAACATCTACCGTAAACGTTTGGATGTTTGGGCAGGCGGGGAATCTGTGGGGGGCCTCCTGGGGACTGTTGGGAGGCCTCTTGGGGGCCTCTCGGAGGCCTCTTGGGACCTCTTGGGGGTCTCTTGGGGGCCTCTTGGGGGCCTCTTTGGGGTTCCTGGAGGACTCTTGGGAGATTCGTGGGGCCTCGTGGGGGCGTCTTGAGGGCGATCCTAAGGTCTCAGCTCTCCGTCGGAGGGCGAGAAGGCGGGAAGGGAACAATCATATAGACTTCCCCTGGGGTCCCTCTGGGGCTGTCTCTGGCGTCTCTTGAGCCGTCTGGAGGCTCCCTTGGGCCGTCTGAGACCCCTGCAGACCGTTTTTGGGGTGACTGGGTCTGGGGCAGCCTGGACGACTGTCTGATGGCCTGCGGGGCAGATTCGGGATTCAGAAATGCGTACCTGGCCCCAGGGCTGAACCTAAACGGTGTTGTTCGTTTTCGTTTTGTTTTCGTCTTCCCTCGTTTTTGTCTCGAATCCGCCATTACCGCAAAACGAATTCGAAACGAAAAACGGCCCACGAAATCACCAAAAACACCGTTTAGGTCCAGCCCTGCCTGACCCCTGGACCTCCCATTTGCGGTCGTGGTCCCAGCCACGGGGCCCCCAGGCCCGGTCCGCCGCTGCATGTGCAAGCAGCGACTGCCAGCGGGGGCCCCCAAAAGCAGCAGGTCGAGCCATTGCAGCGTGGATGCGTAGGCAATGTGGTGTGAGCCATGCGGTGCGAGGTACGCGGTGCGAGAGACGGCGCCGACTGCGTGGCGAAGGCTGTGCGGTGCGGCATGCGTGAGCCGATGGTGCAAGTCGCGCGGTGCAGGCCGTGTGGCCTGCACTGCGTGGTGCAAGACGCGTGGTGCAGGAGGAGGAGGAGGAGGAGGAGGAGGAGGAGGAGGAGGAGGAGGAGGAGGAGGAGAGGAGGAGGGAGGAGGAGGAGGAGGAGGAGGAGGAGGAGGAGGAGGAGGTGGAAGGAGGAGGAGGAGGAGGAGGAGAGAGGAAGGAGGAGGAGGGGGCGCCCACGAGGCGCCCACCTGGTCGAGCCCCTGCCGCGGCACCCGCCGCGGCGCACGAGGCGCCCAAAAGGGAGCGACGCCGCGGAGCCGGGCGAGGCCGCGGCGGGCCCACCTAGGCGCACGCGGGGCGCCCGCGGGCGCCCACCGGGGCCATCCTCTCCTCCTCCTCCTCCTCCTCCTCCTCCTCCTCCTCCTCCTCCTCCTCCTCCTCCTCCTCCTCCTCCTCCTCCTCCTCCTCCTCCTCCTCCTCCTCCTCCTCCTCCCTCCCTCCCTCCTCCTCCTCCTCCTCCTCCTCCTCCTCCTCCTTCCTCCTCTCCTCCTCCTCCTCCTCCTCCTCCTCATCCTCCTCCTCCTCCCCCGCCCCCGCCCCCCACGATTTCTGAGGGGGAGGGTGGGGTTCACACCGTTCGGGAGCTCCCGGGCGAGGTGAACCCCACCCTCCCCCTCAGAAATCGTGGGGGGCGGGGGCAGGCTTCGCACGTGGCCCCCTACACCACCCGGGCACGGGGCGGAGCCCCGGCCGACCCGGCCAGGTCCCGTACGCGGGGGAGGAGCACGAGCACGTGAGCGCAGGCTCTGCCTTAGGGGACGGCTCTCCTCTCCCACCCGATCCTCTGGAGCACCGAGGCGCCCACCTCCGCGTGCTGTTTCCCTACAGACAGGACTGGTCCGAGCTGTTTGTTTTTGATCGCGTGCTGTGCCACTCCGAACGTTTTCGGTCCTTCCTAGATGGCGTTTCCGCTGCAGCGTGAGCCTCATTTCAATATCGGGGCTTTGCTCCCGTCGTTCAGAATGGCGCTCTCGCCTGAGCGCGTGCCACTTCTCTGGATCCGAGTCCTTCCTCATCACTGTCGCACCTGTCATTTCCCCTCCTCAGCCTTCCCCTGGTCATCCTGCTTATCCCGCTCCATCCACTCCAGTTCCTCCTGCTGCTGTTCGTCCTCCTCCTCCTTCCTCATCCTTTTCATCCTGCTTCCTGCGAATCTTCCTGCTCATCCAAAACACCTCCTCATCATCCTCATCCAATGTACGCAGCTCCCCTTCCGAAATCCAGGGATCCTGCCTTCTCTCCACCCTCCTCCCTCGCTCGAAGGCCCCCAGGAATCTTCAAAGGTCCCCCGCGGCCCTGGGCCTCCCAGGTCCCGCAGGGTTCTCTGGGCGCCCCCACGCACAGACGAGAATCTGATCCTCGATCGTCCCGCCCCTCTCAAGAGCGGCGAACATGCAAGTGTTGGTAGGGCTTCGGGTGGCGCACAGACGGCCCCCCCAGGCATTCCTGCCCGGCTCGACAGGCCCCCGAGTAGTCGCAGCTGGTCTCAACAGGCCTCCCAAGCAGTCTGGAGTGGTGTCAACACCCGGCGCCGCCTCCAGCAGCGGCCCTGGGGCGCTCCGCTCTCTCCAGGGCCGCGGCGCTGAGACCGCCCCCAGACTACTCGGGGGGGCCTGCCATGCCCAGCTGGCACTGCTCGGGGGGCTGCTAAGGCCAGCCAGGACTACCTGGGGGGCTGTCTGCACGCAGCCCGTCGCTACCAGTCCATATCGGGCGCGATCCCGTGGATATGCGGTCGCACGGATCTGTTCCGCGCGGGGCATCGCGGACCAGAAACGCCCCGTGTCCACGTCTCGCGGATTAAAGGCCTGGCCCACGAAGCCGAGGAGGAGGAGGAGGAGGAGGAGGAGGAGGAGGAGGAGGAGGAGGAGGACTGTGCCCCGCCCGCGACCCCCGCCTGGCCCGCGACCTGCGGGCGCCAACCCCGCGGCGGCCGCGACTCGGGCGCCCGACCGCTGCCGACCGCCGCGGCGCGCGCGACCGCGCCGCGCGCCACTGGCGCAGCTGGCGCGCGCGGCGCCGCGGCGGCCGCGGCGAGGGCTCCGCGGGGCGCCTGGCGGTCGTCTCCTTCGTCGCTCCTCGGCCGTAGGCTGTCGGTCGCCGCCGCCGCCGCCGCCGCCGCAGGCCGCCGCCGCTGGTCGTCGGTCGCAGGCGGCGCCGCGCGCGCACATCTGGGGCCCTGGCTACAAACCCGAAAGGACACCAGACCCTGAAGGACCCCAAAACCCTAAAGGACCCCACATTATGAAGGACCTCAACCCCCAAAGGACACCAGACCCTAAAGGACCCCAAACTATAAAGGACCTCGAACCGGGGGTGGGAACTTCTGCTCCACGCGTCGCGTCGGCGGCCCTGGCGACGCGCTATGCCCTGCAGGTAGGTGGACACAATGTCGCTCCGCCCCGCGCCGCGGGAGGCTGGGCAGAGCTCGGGATGCTGACGCTCAGGGAACAGGGACTGCGTGGTCAGCGTGTCGCGCCGAGGCGCAGTGGGCCAGGACTGGCGGCGCGACGCGCTGGGCGCTGGCGCTCCTGACCGTCGGGCGGAGAGTCGCGATGAGCAGCTCCTGGGCAAAAGGAGCACCCTCCGCCTCCTCCTCCTCCTCCTCCTCCTCGTCCTCGTCCTCCTCCTCCTCTTCCTCCTGGCCCCTCCAGATCGGCTCCTCCCACAGCCCCACCTTGGGCCTGCACGCTCCTCTCCTTGCACAGCCGCCCGTCCCCCCCCGACGGAGAGCGTGCCCCCAGGCAGGCTGCGCCGCTCGCCAGGCCGGCGCGCGAGGATCGACCGCGTCATCACCCGGGTGACTCCAACCTAAGACCCATGGAGGCCCAACCGGAAAGAAAAAAAAATGGGGCGCGCCGAAGAACCCAGGGGGTCCGGTTTCCGCGGAGGAAAGAAAAAAACCCTGGCGATGGGGTTCGAGCACGAGGGTTACCCCCCCCTCAAATTCCGGAAGAGGAATGAACTCCCAGCCGCGGGGGTGCCCGCGCGAGGGGCCCCACCCCCCCAAGCGCAACCAGAGGAAGAAAAGCGTGAGAGCCGAGACTGTAAGTGCAATGCAACAACACCTTAATCGCGGTTGCACTAGGGATTTGTATTAGTACGGGAACAACTGAATTACAGCCGGTGAGGTTTGGGTTCGGGTTCGGGCTTATATATTGGGAACCCAGTACATTGGAAACGCAATATATTGGAAACTCACTATATTGGAAACCCACTATATTGGAAACCCAATATATTCGAAACCCTTAGTGTAGTGGTCCGATATAGGACATGATAGTACCAGTTGTACTCAAGTACGAGTTGTACGGTAGTCGGAGGGGTTCAGGGGTTCCAACGGCAACGCGCGCGGGGAAGAAGGAAAGAAATCCATGCGCCGCCAGGGGTCCCGGGTTTAACGGGTCGCCGCGAAGGTTGACCCCCCGCGGAAAGAAGAAAAGAAATCCGGCTGGGGGGTTGGGGGGTTGAGGGATGAGTCACGGGGGCGATACCGCGTCCTCGCTCTGAGCGCCGAAGGCACCGAGGAAGACCCGCGGCTGTCTATCGGCTCTCGCGGGCCCCCGCCCTCTCGGCGGCCCTGCTCGGGCCTCTTGGGGGCCCCCCGTCGGACCAGAAAACTAACGACGCCACCCCACTTACGGCTCCACGGGGCTTAGCGTACACCAGCAAATTTGGCGTGGGCCTCCTCTTGGCATACTCTGGGGCCCATGGGCCGCGGCGCAACATGGCGGGCCGCAGGTGGGGGGGGGGGGTCGTCTGTTCTGTGGTCGACACCCGTGGCCCTCTCCGGGCTCTCTCGGGAGCCTCTCGGGCCCCTCCTGGGGGCTCTCTTTGAGCTGGGGGCCCGGGGCGCAGCGGTGCGCCTCGCCAGCTCGCGTGCGGCGGCACGCCGCCCGGCACGAGCGCCGCGGCCCAGGATGCGCCTCTGCCGTGGCCCAGGGCGCGCACGCCTCTCCGCGGACGGGACTCGCGGGCCCAAGAGGCGTGCAGCGGGCGCGCGCGACGAAAACGCCTGACCCACGAAACGTACACTGGGGGCACAACTGTCGTCCATGCGTGACCCTCCCGAGATGCCCCTGAGACGTCTGTGTGCCCCTGGGGCCTTCGGGTCATGAAATGTGTCCGTGGGGCACCTGCCGCCAGGCCGGTTTCTTATCTGACATGCTCACTGTATGTTACGCGAGGCCCTCTCGGGCTGATACGGCCTGAGCAGTGCTACTGGGGAGCGTAAGCCAGGAGCCAGGCCCCCCTCTCGCAAATGTGGGCCCTTGGCAGATCATGAATAGCACCGAGCACCTTCGAACCAATTCGCCCTCGTCGCTTTGATGCCCCGACTCAGCGTTGCGCACGTGTCTCACTGCTCTGCCAACGCCAGGGAGTGTCCATGGGACCAGTCGGGGCGGCGAGCGGAGGAGTGGACCGCAACAAGACCCTCGAGTTTTTACTGTATGGGCGAGCGCGAAGCTACCCCAAGCCCACCGCTGCCTCCGTTGGAAAAAGCCGTGCCCTCTCCCTCGTTCGCCTTACTTGTGCCCCTTCGAATCATCATGCATCATCCTTTGCCTCTGATGGGACGGAGGCTGCCCCGGTCGATTGCTTAGATGCCACTTCGCATAATCGGAGTGAAGGGGCCGAGCGGTCTTGCAATGCCCCTGAGTGCGTGGCTGAAGTGCATACGATTCGCCTACCGACCCGTCGAAAATCTAAGCGCGACCCACCCATATCAGCACCTTCGAAACATGAGCGCCTGCTGCGGGCTCGTGTTTAGAACCATGTGCGCCTGGGTCGGGCTTCTTAACATTGGCTTTCGAGCCTTCGCCCGATCACTCTCGTCCGCAACTGCGTGGGCTATGGCATTGAAGACTGACGCGCCCAAGCAGCTCCTGATTCGACTACACGCAAGAGTGACCCTGAGTAAGAGTGACCTCTGGTGCGCGGCTCTTGGGGGGCCGCGGCGGAACCAACACACCAGTACGCAAGACGCTGCTACCGCATCGCGTTCGGCGATCGGGGGACCCCACTGGGCCCGCACCAAAGGTCACTCCGGCGAAAGGTCACTCTTACACGAGACCTATGCTGCATCATAGCAGCAATTCGGCCGCTGACTTTCGTCCTGGGCTCGGTTTAGTGAAATGATGAAGTTCGGTCGTTCATTTCTAATCGTGCTCATTTCTAACCGTGCTCGTTTCTAATGGTTCCTGGCCCCCTGGTGGCCAGGAAGAGGTCCAGGACAGAAGAGTTAGAAAGGAAAGGATCGTGGCCCCCCCCCCCCCCAAAGACCGAAGAACTCCCGAAGACTTAAAAACGAGCAGTGTGTACATCCTCACACGGCACGGCCTGCACTTGGCCCCGAGGGACGGAGGCCTGAAGCGCTCGCCAGATGCGGCCCTCTCTCCGCCGACCGCTGCGCTGCGCCTGCGGCACACGGCCCACCCCAGCGCGGGCCTGCCGAAGCACGGGACGGAGTGGCCTCCTCAGTCCGAGGCGGAGTCCCAGGAGAGGTACTTCGCATACCTCGACCTGTACGCGCCGTCACTGCAGTAGGCCTCCTTGCAGTAGACCACGTCGCAGTGGAAGCTGCCCTGCGCGCACGCTATCCTGGACTTGGCCGCCGCCCTGCGAGACGCCATGAGGCTGCCCGCCTCCCCGAACACGTAGCTGGTGTTGCGCGCGTCTTTCTTCAGGCCGGTGTAGAAATCTTGCAATCCGGTGCGCTTCCACCGGTCCCCGTAGCGCTTCGTGCAGGCTGCCTCGGCCTGCTCAGCAGTGGTGTGCTCGTTGATCTCATCGTCGACGCAGTGCTTCTCGAGGAAGCAGTACTTCGCGTCTTCGTCGTCGCCGCCCCTGCTGAGCTGCAAACTGCGCCTGCTCGCGGCGGCCTTCTTAGGCTGCGCGTCGATGAGGCATTCCTTCACCGTGCTCTGCCAGAAAGTGTCGTCCACACACCACGACTTGGGGTTGGAGTGGCCATCCCAGCCTGCCACCTTCCATCGAAGCCGCCACAGGTCAGACACGTTCTCGTTTGCCTCGATGCAGTCAAAGGGCGCCTCACACATCCACGGTGTGAGCTGGCAGTCGACGAAATATGCATCCTCGCCACGGTCTGGGTTGATCCCGGCGTCCTCCTGTCCAAAGAAAATCTGAAACAAACGCTGGCCATCGCTCGGACGTCCATTCCCTGTGTTTTTTTCGGTTTCGTGCGTGTTTTTTTTCGTCAAATGATCAAGGATGCTCCTCGATGGCCCTCGCCGAGAGAAAAGTGCACACGTCCGAGCGATGCCAAGAACGTTCATGAGCCGCTTCGCATGACCCCCTTTCCGCCCCGCAGCCCTAACACTGAACAAGCATTCCGAGAGAAGCGGGGCCCGACACATCTGCAAGCCAACACCTCGAACGCAAGTGGCGGCGGAAAATGGGTCGTTTCTCATTCAGGCGCTGCTGTGGCAGTTTTTGTCCTTCCGCCGCCCATCGTCTCCGGGCGCATCGCGATGCCGTGGCCCAGGGAAAACGCGGACACGAGGATCGGGGATGGACAGACCCCCCTTTAGTAAAACGTGGTTTAGTGAAAACGACCTGAGGCCCAAACCTGGCGGGCGCAAGCCTGGAAAATAACGGCCACGGCGCCCTCTCGAGAACCGAAAACGGACAATTCACTAATCGACGTGTCACTGTTGGGGGCTCTGTCCACCCCCGAGAGGATCGTCGCCGAGCCCAGAGACCCGCCCAGCCGGCCTGGCATGGCGGCGTGCGCGGCCGATCCAGCGGGCGATATGTACGAGTACAATATCCGCCCGGCTCTGGTCGGGGCACCAGTGTCGGTTTCGGTTGGAGGAGGAGGAGGAGGAGGAGGAGGAGGAGGAGGAGGAGGGGGAGGTCTGGAGAGGCCCCCCCAAAGAAGGTCCCAAGGGCCAGCTCGGTTGGGTTCCCCGCTGGACTGTTTCCTTGTCGGTGTCTGCTGGAGACTCCAACAGACACCGACAAGGAAAGAGAAACGAAGAGGTACTCCAACTTGGAGTACCTCTTCGTTGATCTTCTGTTGTATCCTGCCTATCTTCTCTTGCCTATACGCACTCACTATACATGCGAACTGCCCCGCAATTGCGGATCAGAGCGAGGTGGCTGGCGCAGGCTGGGTCGCGGGTGGGTCGCGAGTGAGTCGCGGGTGGGTCGCGCGGTGGGTCGCGGCATGGGTCGCGGGGGGGTCGCGGGGGGAGCCGCGGGGAGACGACAACAACAATCATTTTAAACATGTTCGGACTCATATGCTTGCGTGTTAACCAACATGTATATCCCAAACTCTCGATACCTGCCATCTTTGTCTTTGATTGAAATTACCCCCCTTTGGGGGGATATGTTCCTTCCCTGCCATGAGTAATAGGCGCAGTTCCCCAAACAGGAAGAATAGAAATCCGCCGACCCTGTCGGCGTGTGTGAAGAGTTTCGCCGTTCGAATCGTCGTCGCCGTCATTCGTTACTAGTCATATCAATCGTCGTCTTTCTTTGCGCTCTCCTTCCCCTGTGCCCGTCGCCACGCCAGCCGAAGCGAAATTGAGCAACGTCGTACTAAACTCCAAAAAAGACCCCTTCACTTTGATTCCTTCGTGCCGGGAAAGGTGGGGGGGGTCCTGGGTCCGGTCCTGGGGGGAGGGTCCTGGGGGGTCCGGGGGGGGTCACAGGAATGGGGTCCTGGGAGGAGGGTCCCGGCGGCTCCCTCCCAGGGTGTCGTGGAGCCCAAAGAGCCCAAAACGAGCCAACAGTGCCCCGAGAGGCCCCCAAGACTGTCCCAGAAGGCTTCGAATCGCCGAACGATCTGTCTAAGACGCGCTCACGGCCTCCAGACGTCGCACGAATCTTGCAAGACGCCCCAAGAAGCCTCCAAGAGCACTCCCAAGAGGGCCCCACAAGGAAAACTCATCAAAGTCCCATACGTAAGTTTTTGATGCGTTTCGGCGTTTTTGCCTCTTGCATTTCCCGGCGTTCCAGGACGGCCCAACAGGCCTCTCATCGTTCCAAGACAACCGAAGAGCCCTCCAGGAAGAGCCCAAACGGCCCAAGAGAGCCCCAGTACGGCCCAAGACGCCCCCAAGACGGCCCCAAGAGGTCCCCCAGACGGCTGCAGGACCGTGCCCTGGCGAGGGGCCAAGACGGACATGTCGAACCCTCGGCCCCGAGGGGCTCCCAGGAAGAACGGAGAAGCCCCCAGGAAACCCTCCACAAACCTGAGTGACTCCCAAAACGCCCCCGGGAATCCCCAATAGGCCTCCAAAAACTTCCCCTCGTCCTCGTCGTCGTCTTCAGGGTCGGCGGCACCGGCCAGAGGGCCTTTCAATAATGGAAAAGGGAGACAACGAAGAGGGAAGGAGAGGAAGGAGGGAACGGGGCAAGAGAGAAGGAGAGATGGAGGGCAAAAGGGATCAGCAAGGGGGCTTAGCAAGAGGACGCGGCAAATAAGTTTCAGGCGAGAGCGCGGTTCCTGCGCATATTATGAAAGTGTCCTGAACGAAACGGCAATTCCAGAGCGCCGAGGGATCGGCGCGTGAGTAATCCCACCAGCCCTCTGGGCGTAGGTGGTTTAGGGAATTCTTGACGCTTCGCGTATCCCCACCAGTCCGTAGCCCCCTTGGCTCAAGCCGTTTCTGGGCCCCGGCCCCTCGGCCGGGTCTCCCAGCTCAAGGGGTTTCCCCTAGGAGTTTTTTGAGCCGCGCGTCTCCCCCGGGGCCGCGCCGCCATAGCAGACTCCCTGGATTCCTCTTCGTCGGCTACGCGCACCCACTGGCCCTCGGGCTTAGCATGGATGGGCGACCGATCGGTGACGGTCCTGACATCCCTGGTGCGATGATGACCGCGTCGCCAGTCGACGACCGCGCGGCCAGCGGGCTGGCAGACTCAAGGCATCCTCACCCTGGATCGCAGGACACCATCCCTCCGGGGCAGCCGTCGCCCCTCGCCCCCTGGGATGTGAATGCCCCCGCCGACGCCTCGCGCACACGAGAACCGATGGCCTTCAGCCAAACGGGAAGATGGGGAGATACGTTCAACCCCGCGATACACACTGATATAGCGACCTTCAGTCGCTTCCCTGGATTTTATAACGACAGGCATGACGCCCTCCCGCCTAGCCTATCCCCCTCTCTGACCCCCACCCTTCCCATGCCCATTGCTGGGCGCCCAATCTCCTTCTCTCCAGGCGGTGCTGGGCAGAGCTGGATCGCCCACGGCGATGCCAGGATTACGGGGGGCGATGGCCCCACTCCAGAGCAGGCGAACCCCCCCGCGGACCCAGGGTCGCTTGGGCCGCGTACTGGCGTTTGGCAGAGGGATGCACCCAACGACCGACCCAGGGGCTTCAACGACGATGGTGGGGGGACCAGGGATTTGGCCCCCCCAGATGGTGACCGCGGGTACGTCGGGAGGGGAGACAGGCAGACGCCTGCCCTCGGTCCCGACTCGCATCAAAGAGGCTTGCGCCTTCACTCCGCCGAACGTCCCCTCCTGGACGCTTCTGCGCAGAGAGAAGCAGCCTTCAGCTGCGAATCGGACATGGAAGAGGGGCCTTCAGCCCTTGGAGCGATCTGTGACACAGCAGAGCGAGCCTTCAGCTCGAGGCTCCAAGGCACATCTAACAACCTCAGAGTTGACGAGCCTTCAGCTCGAGAATCGGAGACGGCACCAATGGTCGTCGAGAGTGCCGCTGGGCATGTGGCCACGAGCGGCGACGGGAGGCGCCGCTCGCCCGCCGCCTTTCCTGGAGTTGACTGCGCTGAACACACAGAGAATGGGCCTTCAGCCCGAGGAGCTTCCAGCGAGACAGCAACTTTGATCGACCCAGCAGCCTGGGGCGCCCCGAGCGGGCGCCTCGGCGCTGAGGTCGATGCAACGACCAGTCAACTCCCTGGACACTCCCGTAACCCCGAAGACTTTCGTCAGCCATCCGCCCCCCAGTCGGACAGCCGCGGACGTGACGAGCCTTCAGCTCGAGATTCTCATACTGAAGGAGCCTTCAGCTCGATGGTCCAAGGCGCAGCGGGATGCAGCATAATGGACATAGAAGATGGGCCTTCAGCCCTTGGAGCGACCTGTGACACAGCAGAACGAGCCTTCAGCTCGAGACTCCAAGGCGCATCCAGCAACCCCAGAGGTGACGAGCCTTCAGCTCGAGAATCGGAGACGGCACCAATGGCCCTCGGGAGTGCCACTGGGTATGTGGCCGCGAGCGGCGATAGTCGCCGCCGCGCGCCCACCGCCCTCCCTGGAGTTGACAGCACTGCGCACCTAGAGAACGGGCCTTCAGCCCGAGGAACCCCCAGCGAGACAGCAGCGCTGACCGACCCCGCTGCTTGTGACGCCCCAGGCGGGCTGCTCGGCTCCGAGGGCGATGCATCGACATGTCAACTCCCTGGGCACGCCTGGAACCCCGAAGACTCTCGTCAGCCGACCGCCCCCCAGTCGGACAGGCGCGGACGCGAAGAGCCTTCAGCTCGAGATTCTCATACTGAACGAGCCTTCAGCTCGAGGGTCCAAGGCGTAGCGGGATGCAGCAGGATGGACGCAGAAGATGGGCCTGCAGCCCTTGGAGCGACCAGTGATGCAGTAGAGCGAGCCTTCAGCTCAAGACTCCCAGGCGCACCCAGCAACCACAGAGGTGACGAGCCTTCAGCTCGAGAATCGGGGACGGCACCAGCGGTCCTCGGGAGTGCCGCTGGGCATGTGGCCACGGGCGGCGACGGGAGTCGCCGCGCGCCCGCCGCCCCTCCTGGAGTTGGCAGCATCGCACACGCAGAGAATTGGCCTTCAGCCCGGGGAGCACCCAGAGAGACAGCAGCATTGACCGACCCCGCAGTCTGGGATGCCCCAGGCGGGCCGTTCGGAGCCGAGGGCGATGCATCGAACAGCCAACTCCCTGAGCACTCCTGGAATTCCGAAGACTTTCGTCAGACATCCGCCCCCCAGTCGGACAGCCGCGGACGTGACGAGCCTTCAGCTCGAGATTCTCGCACTGAACGAGCCTTCAGCTCGAGAGCCCAAGGCGTATCGGGATGCAGCAGAGCGGACATAGAAGACGGGCCTTCAGCCCTCGTAGCGACCTGTGACGCAGCAGAGCGAGCCTTCAGCTCGAGGCTCCAAGGCACGGCCAGCAATCTCAGAGAAGACGAGCCTTCAGCTCGAGAATCGGAGACGGCACCAATGGTCGTCGAGAGTGCCGCGGGGCATGTGGCCACGAGCGGCGACGGGAGGCGCCGCTCGCCCGCCGCCTTTCCTGGAGTTTACTGCGCTGAACACACAGAGAATGGGCCTTCAGCCCGAGGAGCCCCCAGCGAGACAGCAGCTTTGATCGACCCAGCAGCCTGGGGCGCCCCGAGCGGGCGCCTCGGCGCTGTGGTCGATGCTACGACCAGTCAACTCCCTGGACACTCCCGTAATCCCGAAGACTTTCGTCAGCCACCCGCCCCCCAGTCGGACAGTCGCGGACGTGACGAGCCTTCAGCTCGAGACTCCCACGCTGAACGAGCCTTCAGCTCGAGGGTCCAAGGCGTACCGGGTAACCGCAGAAGTGGCGAGCCTTCAGCTCAAGACCCAGGAACAGCCCCAATGGACTTAGAGAGAGGCGCCGAGGCCGTGACTGCGAACGGAGACGACCTCGACCCTCCTGGGTCTCCTGACGCCCTTCCCCCTGGAGGTGCGGGCGCGGACACCAGAGTCGCGCCCAGCCCCCGCGCAGCAAACCTCACAGAAGAGACTGGCCTTCAGCCAGGAGGAAGAGAGCGAGAGGCGGGCGAGCCTGGTAGCAGTGGCCG